GCAGGAGTCATCGGCCTAAAGAAGACCTCTTGTGTGGAAATTGGCATGGAGCCCTCACATCAAGAGTTTCTGGACTTTATACTTTTTGGCAAGACTATGTTATTGACAAACAACAAGTGTGTTGTTTTGGAAAACCCACTCAGGTAGTGTGATTAACGTGGAAACCCAAACGCCCTGATTGTAGGAACAGAATCTGCCTTTGGTAAATGAACACCTTTTTCAGTTCCACGTGCGCTCGAGTGCACGGACGTGCAACGTACCTGCGCACGTGCGTGGCCACACGGGCGCACGGATGGGCGAGTGGACGGGCCTGCGGCCGAGCGTGCTGGCGAACGAACGCGCATGCGCACGTGCGAGCGTACGCACGTCCAGGCGTACAGGCATGTGTGCACATGCGCTCGTACGGCCAGAGCTGCTTTCTTGTTTTGTTTGATAATTTTAGTGCCTCCGGCTCAGGCCGCCGACATTACAGGCCTGCTTTCTTATTTGCGTCCCTTTGGAATTGTCCCCTTGCCCCCTTCCCCTCTGAGATTTTTGCCCCCCTTTCTTTGTTGAGATCCATTCCCCCTTTCCGCCCGAAGGCCTTTTCTCCCTCTGTTTTTTTCCCTTTTCCTCCCTAAGATGTTTTCACCCCTCTCCCTGTTGAGATCCTTTCCCCCCTTTCCCCCCTAAGGCCTTTTCCCCCCTGAGATCTTCTCCCTTTGCCTCCCTAAGATCTCCCAGATCGTCTCCCTTTCAGGGAGAAGATCTGGGAGAAAAGGACTTAGGGGGGAAAGCCCAACAGGGAAAGGGGGGAAAAGATTTAGGAAGGAAAAGGGAGAAGCTCTCAGGGGGGGGAAAGGCCTTAGGGGGGAAAGGGGGAAAAGGATCTCAGCGGGGGGGGGGAAGATCTTAGGGAGGAAAGGGAGAAGATCTGGGGACAAAGGCCTTAGGGGGGAAAGGGGAGAAATGATCTCAACAGGGAAAGGGGTGGAAAAGATCTTAGGGCGGAAAGGGAGAAGATCTGGGAGAAAAAAGGCCATCAGGGAAAGGGGGGAAAGACCTAAGGAAGGAAAAGGGAGAAGCTCTCAGGGGTGGGAAAGGCCTGAGGGGGGAAAGGGTGGGAAGGATCTCAACAGGGAAAGGGGGGAAACAATCTTAGGAAGGAAAGGGAGAAGATCTGGAAAGGCCTTAAAGGGAAGGGGGGAAAGGATCTCAACAGGGAAAGGGGGCCAAGGATCTTAAGGAGGAATAGGAAGAAGATCTCAGCGGGGGGAAAGGCCGTAGGGGGGAAAGAGGGGAAAGGATCTCAACAGGGAAAGGGGGGGAAAGATCTCAGTGAAAAAGGGAGAAGGTCCCAGGCAGGGAAAAGGCCTTAGGGGGGAAAGGGGGAAAGGATCTCAACAGGGACAGGGGGCAAAGGATCTTAGGGAGGAAAAGGGAGAAGATCTGAAAAGGCCTTAGGGGGAAAAGGGGGAAAGGAGCTCAACAGGGAAAGGTGGGAGAAGATCTTAGGGAGGAAAAGGGAGAAGATCTTGGGGGGGAAAACGCCTTAGGGGGGAAAGGGCGGGAAAGGATCTCAACAAGGAAAGGGGGGAAAAGATCTTAGGAAGCAAAAGGGGGAAGATCGCAGGGGGAAAAAAGGTCTTGGGGGGGAAAGGAGGGAAAGGATCTCAACAGGGAGAGGGGGGAAAACATCGTGGGGAGGAAAAGGGAAAAACTCAGAGGGAGAAAGGGCCTTAGGGGGGAAAGGGGGGATGGATCTCAACAGGGAAAAATGGCAAAAGATCTTAGGGAGGAAAAGGGAGAAGATCTGAGGGGGGGAAAGGCCTTAGGGGGGAAAGGCGGGAAAGGATCTGAGCAGGGAAAGGGGGGGAAAGATCTTAGGGAGGAAAGGGAGAAGATCTGGGGGCAAAGGCCCCTCAATGATCTCAACAGGGAAAGGGGTGGAAAAGATCTTAGGGAGGAAAGGGAGAAGATCTGGGGGAAAAAAGGCCAACAGGGACAGGGGGGGAAAGATCTAAGGAAGGAGAAGCTCTCAGGGGGGGAAAGGCCTCAGGGGGAAAGGGTGGGAAGGATCTCAACAGGGAAAGGGGGGAAACAATCTTAGGAAGGAAAGGGGGGGGGGGAAGATCTTAGGGGGGAAAGGGAGAAGATCTGGGAGAAAAGGACTTAGGGGGGGGGGGGAAAAATACAAGAACAGATGTTGAAAGAAGTAAAATAATTTTCATAACAACTCACCAAAATATAAAATATAGGTTTATAATTCAAATATTAAATAAGGTTAATACATTATTCATATTCATTAACCTTATCTAATTACTTGAAAATAATTTCACTTCATTGAAATATTATATAAGGTTAAGAAGTTATTCTACATATTAACCTTATACAATTTTATGTAAAATATTTATTAATAAAAATAATATTAATTTTCTTCTGCCTGTTTCATTTCTAAATTTCTTTTATGCTTATTTGTTTTAAGATGTTGCTTTTTTGAACATGGAGAAAAATAACAGTCACAAATATCACACTGAATTTTTATACTGTTCCATTTTCTATTACTTTCAAGTGTTTTATTTCTATATTCATCATCTTCTTCATATCTTTTTCTTTGCTCCTCATTGTATCTATCTTTATGTTTAATTCGGTTATTCCTTTTGTTTTCTGAACATTGCCTGCATTGTTTATTATCTTTATTAAATTCGTCAAATAGTTTCATTCTACCACAGTTTCTACATAATTTTCCATTATCCGTTTTGAATGAACCGTTTTCCAAAATTCCTTCATACATTTTACCTTTAACTAAAACACAAATTTGTCCTTCCATAGTTCTTATAATACAATGTCCTTAAACCTTTAAATACATTTTAAGAAATTCCTATAATCAATATTCTTTGAAACTAATTTCCCAAAATCCCAAAATATAAAATCCCCATAATTTCAAAACATAAATCTTACAATGTTTTTTATTGTAAGGTTTATGGGAAAGTGGAGGGGTCAATGCGACCCATTTGGGAAGCACCCTGCCTACCATTTGGGAAGCACCCTGCTTGCCTGCCCACCATTTGGGAAGCACCCTGCTTGCCTGCCCACCATTTGGGAAGCACCCTGCTTGCCTGCCCACCATTTGGGAAGCACCCTGCTTGCCTGCCCTCCATTTGGGAAGCACCCTGACCGACATGTTGGGAAGTTTCAACCACAATCCCAAACTCGTTTCTTTAATCCACCAAACTCGTCAAAATCTCACAAATCAATTCAGCAGGTATTTTGTATAAATCTTCCTGTTTATGTATTACATAATTATCCCCAGAACCACTGCTTGAAAATAATTCTAATAAATTCATATTATTAGAATTATTTAGATATGTATTATATTAATTCGTATTTTCCTTCTTCGTTCTTAAACAGTTTATAAAATTCAATAGTTTCTGTTTTTGGAGATTTAATTTTGTTCTTATTTAACATATCCATATATTGCTTTTGCTTATCTTGAAAACTGCCAGACGGCCTTCCTATTTGTTTCTTTTCAAAGATTTTGTCAATCTTTTCCTTCTCTTCATTGCTATCTTTTGGTTCGTTTGCCTTTGCATCAAGTTTCTGGTCAATAGTTTTTATCATCTCGTGCAACAGTTTAACATTTTTACTAACTGTCATCATCTTCTTTGATAGTTCAGCAATAGCATCATTCTCAATTTCAGACATTTCTATATATATTTATTTATATAATTATTTATTTAAATATTTATTTATAAAATTGATTTAATGTAAAATCTACTCTTTAATACTAAATTTTCATCATTTGTTTAATAGTTTCCTGAGTTTCGTTATCTCCATTATCTGACATTGTTGCCTCATTTCCAAATTTGATAGAAATATTATGTGCATCTGTTTCCAGATTGATACTGTCCTTGGTTTTATCAATATTCATTTTCTTATCATTTTTAGTTATTTTAAACCCTAATGGCACACAAGAACATTTGCAATTTCCTTTCTTTTGAATTTCTAATTCGTTCTTCATTGCTAACATCTTTTTACACATAGGACACTCAAACTCGGTTAGTGCTGTTTCTTTAACAATTTCTTCTTTTTCTTCATCTGTTGAAGAAACTGTAGTATCTGTTTTATTCTTTTTGTTTTTCTTTTTTCCCATTTATATTAATATTTACATTTTTATTTTTGATATATTGTATTCCTAATTTTATTAATTCTAATGAATAAAAACAGCATTTTTTAATTTTATTGTCAGTTATTATTACTTGTTCTATATTCTCTACTTCATCTATTATATTAATATAATCTGTATAACTCCTTTTCATATTAAATAATAAGATAAATTATTTTTTAATTTCTGTCTTTCTTTTCCTTGTACAACTTGATGGAACTTGATAAGTTCTTTCAAGTTCTAGAACTCTAGGAAAATGGTTCTTTTTCCTAGAGTTGTACAGTTTTTTCATTGTATCGTCTTTATTCCATCTATATTCCTCAAATTTCTGATGATGTTTTGAATTTAGATGTTTAAATAAATATTTGTCATCATAAGTTTTACCACAACTGCAATGGATAATAGTCATATAAATAATAAGATGAAATAATTATTAAAAATAATTATTTGATCTTATTATTTTCATGCATAATAGAATATTGGTGGGGCACAGCACTTGGGGTTTTCATTGCACACGCGAGCAAGACACAAAACTAATTATCTTCAATGCTTATTGATTGAAGCAATGGAAAACCTGTTCCATTTTTTCATTGATATTTGCCGTCATCATATCATGAAAAAACGATGTTCCATTTAATATTAATTATAAATATTTTTCTAAATATCTTTAATATTATTTTATTATGCCTGATGTAAAACCAATTGATGAAATCAAATATGACTTTAAGCAAAGTAAGCATGATGTCGTCCCTAAATTGCCGATGAGAGCGATGATTGTGGGCCCGTCAGGCTCTGGCAAATCGACGCTACTTGTATCAATGATACTTGATATTTATAGAGGAGCATATGAAAGAAT